TCAGAGTAGCAGCCATGTTAGTCTGTATCTGCAAAAAGAAAAGGAGTACTTGTGGCACCTTAGAGACTAACCAATTTATTTGAGCATAAGCTTTTGTGAGCTACAGCTCACTTCATCGGATGCATGCAGTGGAAAATACAGTGGGGAGATTTTATATACACAGAGAACATGAAACAATGGGTGTTACCATACACACTGTAACGAGAGTGATCAGGTAAGGTGAGCTATTACCAGCAGGAGAGGAAAAAAAACAAAAACAAAACCTTTTGTAGTGATAATGAAGGTGGGCCATTTCCAGCAGTTGACAAGAATGTGTGAGGAACTGTGTGTGTGTGGGGGGGGAAATAAACATGGAGAAATAGTTTTACTTTGTGTAATGACACATCCACTCCCAGTCTTTATTCAAGCCTATAAAGACAGTACACATGGCAAAAGTCCCTGTGTTCAGTAGAAGATATAACCCACTTGGGTTATGATCTTGGGATGCAAAAGACAATCAAGTGAGAGGGTCAGTGAAGCATAAAAGGAAACTTTATTTCATTCATTGGTGGTGGTGCCTTGTGTGTGTGTGTCTTCATGAAACACACATTCTGTATTCCATCTCCAGCACAAATACAGAATCTAATTTTAAATGAAACAAGATATGATATTTCAGAGATAAGGTAGGGGAGATAATATCTTTTATTGGACCAACTTGTTTTGGTGAGAAAGACACGCTTTTGAGCTTACACAGAGCTCTTCTTCTGGTCTGGGAAAGGTACTCAGATTGTCACAGCTAACTACAAGGTGGAACAGATTGTTTAGCATAACTAGTTAACACATATTCTAAGAGACTATTCAAGGTAAAGTGGCTTGATATCTCTTATTTGGCACCCCAGCAGTCAGAGGAAAAAAATAAAGTTTTTTCTTGAGTGGATTGAGGGGGGGGTATACAGGACAGTAATATTAAGGAGAAATGTGGGGATTAGTATTTGTTTTTTTGTTTATATTTATTTGTGATTATATTGTATTAATTAAGCTTAAATGAACTCACACAGAAAAATGACAAAAGACAAAAACACCATATCACCCCTGGGCGAACAATCTTCACAAAGCAATTACTTCATATCTGACCTCTCAGTCCTCAGAGGAAACCTGCACATCTTCGAAAGATGAGCCTTGAAGCTTAAATTCATTACTTTGCTAGGCACTCAAAATCACAGTCTAAATAACGACACTAGATTTCTGCAGTGTTGTTGTAGCTGTGTAGGTCCCAGGATATTAGACAGACAAGGTGGATGTGATGATATCTTTTATTGGACCCACTTCTGTTGATGAGCGAGACAAGCTTTTGAGCTTTTCAAAGAGCTCTGTGTAAGCTCAAAAGCTTGTTTCTCTCACCAACAGAAGTGAGTCCAATAAAAGATAATACCTCACCCACCTTTTCACACTGGATTTATGGCACATTATAACAATCTGTAACCACTAATCCCCATCTTCAATCCTATGGCTGCAAGGCTGTTAATGGGCCATTTCACCTTGAATAATGACAGGTTTCAGAGTAGCAGCTGTGTTAGTCTGTATCCACAAAAAGAACAGGAGTACTTGTGGCACCTTAGAGACTAACAAGTTCATTTGAGCATAAGCTTTTGTGGGCTACAGCCCACTTCATCAGATGTATAGAATGGAACATACAGTAAGAATATATATATATATACACACACATACAGAGAACATGAAAAGGTGGAAATAGCCATACCAACTGTAAGAGGCTAATTAATTAAGATGAGCTATTATCAGCAGGAGAAAAAAACTTTTGTAGTGATAATCAAAATGGCCCATTTAGACAGTTGACAAGAAGATGTGAGGATACTTAACATGGGGAAATAGATTCAATATGTGTAATGACCCAGCCACTCCCATTCTCCATTCAAACCCAAGTTAATGGTATCTAGTTTGCATATTAATTCAAGCTCAGCAGTTTCTCGTTGGAGTCTGTTTTTGAAGCTTTTCTGTTGCAAAATTGCCACCTTTAAGTCTGTTACTGAGTGACCAGAGAGGTTGAAGTGTTCTCCTACCGGTTTTTGAACGTCATGATTCCTGATGTCAGATTTGTGTCCATTTATTCTTTTGCGTAGAGACTGTCCGGTTTGGCCAATGTACATGGCAGAGGGGCATTGCTGGCACATGATAGCATATATCACATTGCATCAGATGAAGCACAAAAGCTTATACTCAAATAAATTTGTTAGTCTCTAAGGTGCCACAAGTACCTGTTCTTTTCACCTTGAATGGTCCCTTGGAATATGTGTTAACTACTTATGCTAAACAATCTGTTCCACCTTGTATTTAGCTATGATACCCTGAGTACCTTTTCTAGACCTGAAGAAGAGCTCTTTCTGTGTGAGCTTGAAAGCTTGTGTCTCTCACCATCAGAAGTGGGTCCAATATCAGTGTGATGGGTTGTAACCCCTGGGGTGCAATCTGGGAGCCGTGGGAACCACTGCGCCCCTCTAAGACACACAGCTGGGCTGGCCCTGCCCACACTGCTGTGCTGGAAATACAGCCAGCCTCATCAGGCCCTGTTATCACCCAACACAACAGTAGGTGGTGCCATACACCTAAACTGAGCTACCTGTGTGCTGCTGTACTTAAGCACTCAAAGACAGGCAGGAGACACCAGCCAGTTTCCCAGCTCCCCAGGCTCACACCTCCTATGGGAGTATAAACCCAAAATTATACCGTCTTGCATTGCACAGGGATCTGTACAATGTAAGCTCATAAATAGTTCACTCCTCCCTCAATGTGGAGAAGAATATACAACATGCCCATGTTAACCAAGCTGAGATTTTTCCCCAGATACTTCACTCAAAGGCACATGGGTTTAGATAAAGCAAAAACCAAGTTTATTAACTACAACAAGATACATGTAAGTGATAGCAAACAGATCAAAGCAGATTACCTAGTAAATAAACAAAACCGCAAACAAAGCCTAAAATACTAGAAAGACTGGATATGAATTAGCAATTTATCACCCTGGCTGATGATACAAGCAGTCCACCAGGTTTCCATACACAGGCTAGAAATCCTTTTAGCCGGGGACCAGCACTTCCCCTAGTTCAGTCTTTGGTCCTCAGGTGTTTTCAGAAGTGTTCTTGTGTGGGGAGTGAGGCCACTAGATGATGTCACACCCCACATTATATCGCTTTAACATATGGTGGGAATTCTTTGTTCCAAAAACAGTTCCTATCCCAGTTTGTGGAAAAATATAGATACCCAAAATGGAGTTCAGTATCATGTGGTCTGGTCACATAGCCTTGCTGGGTATTAGCAGCCATTACTTACAGGCTGGCTGAAATGTTTCCAGAAAGGCTAAACCATATCATAGTCCATTGTCTTTGCTGATGAGCCATCAGCACTGTCTAGCTTCACCATTGTTGTACCTGAAAGGCTAGCTGTGGGTGTTTTCCAGAGTCAGCACATTTGAAATACAGATACCTACTCAATATTCCTAACTTCAGATACAAAAATGATACATGCATACAAATAGGATAATCATATTGAGCAAATCATAACTTTTCCAATGACATCTCACATGACCCATCTTGTACAAAATGCATCATCATTATGTAATAATTGTATCATAATAATACAACTATGAGGAATATGGAGGTGCAGTGTTACAAACAGATATTACCTCACCTACCTTGTCATTCTCATAGCCTGGGACCAACATGATTACAACACCACTGCAAATGATATTTCACATATATAGAGCAAAACTGAAACGGACATTCCACCCTCCGCAAAAACTAACAGACTGAAAAACGGCCCATCCTCTCTACCCAAATATAGGCAAACACCTAAGACATGTGTTTTACGTCATTTCCTGAAGGTCACTGGACTTGGCTGTTTCAGGCCAGTTTGGGAAGCAAACTGCAGAACAGACTGCCTTCCATTGAAATAGCAATCATGCCTAATAGGTAGCTTGTATGAGTTAAAAGTTCCTATATGTTTCAGCTTCAGGTCTTTCATCAGGTCACCTCCATTCTTTATAGTAAATTGAAATCTACACAGCCAAAACAAAATTCCTGTTCCAAAGAGTTTACTTACAGTTGGATACTGAGGGTCAGTGTGGATGTTGTCAGTGGTAGGCTTCATGGAATTGGTGGGTGAGACGGTCCCTTACATTAGGGTTTCTCAACCTCTGGGTTGGGACCCAAAATTGGGTCACCAAAATGTTTCAAAGGGTTGTGTGGCAGCTCCTGTGGCTCCTTTCCCACGCAGCTGGCTGTGCTCGCCTCCCAGCTCCAGGCACTGCAGCCTCTAGGGTCCCAGCGCCACTCAGCTTTGGCCCAGCTGTCATGAAGACGAGAGCCCAGGTAGGCCAAATTTGAGTGAGTGGCCCTGCAACCCCATGTGCCAGGTCACAACTCCACTCAGACAAATTTGGTCCAGCCAGGGGGAGGGGGCTAAACCTGAGTGGCGCTGCAGCCCTGGAGGTTGCAACACCCAGAGTGGAGAGCCAAGCCCACCCAGCCCCACAGCACAGGAGCTGCAGGAGCCACCACTGTGGGGTGAGTGCTGGGCAGGACCCAACCCCCCAGCCTGGCAGGGCCTGACTGAAACCACCCCAGGGTCTCCAACCCCAGACTATTTACTGGGTTGCAACAGGCCATAAAAGGTAGAGAATCACTGCCTTAGGTAACCAAGTTCTAAACCATTTAGGGCTCCATAGGCCCATCACAAATACTTTGAACCCAAGTGGGAAGCTAAAAGTCAACCAGAGAAGTCCCTAGAGCTCTGGCGTAAGGTGTCCCTGAGTGACGTACAATGCAGCTCACAATACAGCTGCTTGACTTCAGTTTCTGAATGGTGCCAGGGAGTAGCCCCACATAGAGGGCATTACAGTAGCACAGTCTCAAGATGACAAGTACATGGTTGACTGTAGCAAGGTCTGTATTTGGAGAGCATTGGTCACACTCTTCTCAGCAGGCTTAGGTGGAAAATACTGTAGTTGTTCTTGACCAGAGTGGCCACCCAAGCACGCAGGAGCAGCTCGGGATCTAATAAGACCCCTAGCTGTAAACCTGTGTGACAAATGGCTGCCACAATCCTTAGGCAGGGTGTGGATATCATTCCCATTGTCTTGTCAGGCTGCTTTCCCCACCAGGGCCTCCTTTTTGTTTGCAGTGAGCCTTAGCCACCTTTCCCTCTTCCAAATTCCAATCACATATAGGCCCTGTACCATTCATTCCACTACACCAGCTGGGTCAGAGACTCAGATACCAGCAGAGGTTAGTGTTTTCAGCTACCTCCGGGGTGCAGGTTAGAAGCCAGGCTCACGGCAAAATGGAAAAAACTTAGCCAGGGACACTGGGGTGAACCCCTAACCTTATGAAAAGTGTTTGGTGGGGTCTTGAATATCTATGCAGAACAGACAGGAATTCAGGCTTTCAGGTTTTATCTGAAAGTACTTGGCATTCCATGCATCTACTGCAGAAAGATGAAGGATGGGGGAAAACCCTGTTAGGATGCACAAATGTAGTTCCAGGGAGTCTCATATTGTTTAGCACTTAGCCCTTTTCATCTATAGTTTGAAAAGCACTTAAAAGATGGTTCCTAAGTATCATCTTCCGCCATGTAGATTAGATTTCACAGAGAGAGAAACTGAAGTGCAGTGACTTGCCCAAGGTCTCATGATCTGTCAGTAGCAGAGGCAGGCGTAGAACTCAGGATTCCTGACTCCTTGTCCACCAGTGTCTTATGCACTGGACCATTAAACATCCAGCATTGATGCTGCCAAACTTAATGTAGTTTCTAGGATGAAACGCTGAATTCCATTTCCAGACCCGGTCTCTGGGGTTGTCATTACAAAGCCAGTGTGTTACATCTCCAATGTCACAGGCCGCCCCGGGGGATGCAGCCTGGATAAAAATGAGTATAATCCCTAGAAGCGGTGTGTGTTTATTTTTAAAAAAGCCCATAGCTTGGCACACTCTCAATGCAAACATTGTTTGATAGGAGTTTCTGTGACTTTTCAAGGGTATGGCTGCATTGCAGTGTAAGCCCAGGATTCGAACCCAGGCTCAAGCCTCATTCCCCTTCCATCTGCACACAAATTTTGCTCATCCCGGGGAATGGGGTGGGGTGGGGCAAGCCTGAGTCAAGCCGGGACCAAGAGTTCAAGCCCTATTGCTTTGCAATGTAGATACAGCCCCACTGGACTTGTGCTCTGGTAGTCCACCAAAAGTATCCCACAATCACATGGGCTGACTTTCTTTATCCTCTGGATAGTCAAGTTTTCCCACACTGCATCATGAACAAAGGGCTAGAGTGGCCACATATTGGCTGGGTGCTAGGAAGTCTGGGATGTAGGTGGTAGGACTCAGTCCTGCATAATACAGTGTAGGCATTGGAACCCCAGGTTGGGACCCAGGGTTCAGCAATTTCTAACCTGGGGTTACAAATGAGTGCAGGTGCTCAAGCCGTAGGTAACAAAGCCAGGGTCTGCTCACTTGAGTACTACTAACTCTGCGCTTACATGGCAGGGAAGACCTTCCCTCGGTTACATTGTCTTCACAGCTCACGGTTTCACGGGACCTTGGTGCAAACTAAATTGATCAGCAGGAGGAAAATAGCCGTTGCCTAGACAACGGGCAGATGACTCATCCTGGGCAGCAAGCAGCAAAAGCTGTGAGGCTGCAGTAATTTTCCAGATGCTTAATCCAGCTCTTCAGTCTTTCTTTCTTTTTCTCACTCTGAAAGGCAGAAATCCTCCTCTCACTTTTTCTCTCTCTCTTCATTTGCAACCCTACGTACGCTGCAGCCCTACGTGATGCAGAGAACAGTTTTCCATAGTGCTTACCCCGGCTGGCGTCACAGGGACAGCTTGGAATAATGCTGATGAGCCACTTGATGGAGTGAAACGGAGCCTCCAAAGAGAGTAAAAATAGAACTAGAAACTGCAGGCTGCAAAAGCCAAACCCAGCCCCCAAACTCACCACTGGCATCACATTTCTTATAATAACCCTGGACTGGCTTCTCTATGTTATGACTATGTCACCTCATTCCTTCGTAGCAATCATCAGGGCTGTGAAACCTTCGAATGTAATCTGTATTCAGCACAGGCACGTAACTAGGGCAAGGTGATCTATATTCAACAAATGCTCTTCAACAAGGTAGTCTCCCTTCTTCATCACTTATGCATGATTTTTTGTTATTTGATGTAAGTTTTAGTGCTGATTAAAGGTATCTGGGAGTTGGGAAGGAATTTCGCCCCCCCCCCCCCCAGGTCATATTGGCAGAGACCCTGGGGTTTTTTTTGCCTTCCTCTGCGGCATGGGGCACAGGTCACTTGCAGGCTTAAACTAGTGTAAATGGTGGATTCTCTGTAATTTGAAGTCTTTCAACCATGATTTGAGGATTTCAGTAACTCTGCCAGAGGTTAGGGGTGAGTGACGTTCCATGGCCTGCAATGTGCAGGAGGTCAGACTAAATGATCATGATGTTCCCGTCTAACCTTAAAGTCTATGAGTATCAGATTCACAGCGCTGGCGAGTGATGTCCTCTTTACCCCAGAACAGATACAACACAGGCAGCAGAAGTGTCAGCTTCCCTCTCACTCCAACTTGACATAGAGGATCCATCACTAGGGATAGGAATGCAGTTCTTTGTTCATTCGGTGGAGCGGAGTCCCATTCAACCTGTTACCCTGTTATCGAGACTAACGGTGATGAGGCCGAGCGGAAGGCTGGTCTTGTCATTCAGGCACTAGATGGGGACTTGGCAGACCTGGGTTTGCTTTCTGGCTGTCACAGATGTCCTGTGTGAACTTGGGTAAATTATTCTCTTTGTGCCTCGGTTCCCCATCTTTAAAATATGTAATGCTGCCTTTCTCTCATGTTTTATCTGCTTAAATTGAAGGCTTTTGGACATAGGGAGAGTCTCTTACAATGTGTGGGTACAGCGGCTACCACAACGGGCCCCCATTCTCTACAAGGGTTTCTAGGAATGATTACAAAGGATAGCAGTTAATGGTTTCTGAAATGTGGACACCTGTCCACTGGGAACTGGAGGGAGCCACCACCTTTTGCCACAAAATACAGCCTTGCACCTGGTTGTTTAACTTTGGCAGATCATTCAGTAGACAGGAGCTACTGACGTTGACCTGGCTGCACAGGTGTAATTAACTGATGACTAAACCCACCACAGACCACCAAAATCATGTACCTCAGGCAGATGTTCATCATGTTTGTTTTCTACCTCTATCTGGGGTGGTTACCAGTTTATGACTATATAATTGTGACAGGGTCTATCCGGCCTTCTCTGCCCCCGACTGGCTGCATCAGCTCCTAACACCCACCTGTTTAAGGAAATCCGCTCAGGCCAGGCTACTAAAAAGACTTAGTCCTCCAGAGGCGTAGAAGGGCCATGAGGAGGCACTGACCAGTTGGGAACTAGCAGGCCAGTTAAAAAGGCTTGCCTGCTTTCTCTGAAGGGGAAATGCTGGGTGATGCTGGGACAGGAGGAGAATCCGTCAGTGCTAGCCCAGAATTTTGGCTTAAAGTGCTGTGGCTAAACAGTGACCTTTTATATTTGTGTGCAGGCTAGGGGAACAGATACCCGAGTTCCAAGTCTGTTTATTGTTTAACTGTTTAAAGACTGATGCAGAGCCCATGGCTTGGGCCATTCTTCTCCAGGCTGGCTGCCACAATAATCCCCATTACCCCAGTATGGGTCTAGCCCTTTTAGTGGCTGGATCACATAAGAACTTAATAAGGATGCTATGTCTGCTAGCCAGGAGAGTTACTCCTTTAACTCAAGCAATCCAGGCTCAGGCTTTTAATGAACAAGGTCCTGGGGTTCAATCCCTGTGCAGTTGTCATATGTGACTGGCATGTTTTGGGTGGCTAGAAGGAGAAGATAATCTGATATAATTGGTGTGTGCAATGTTGTAAGCCGTACTGGAGTTTCAGAAGCTAATTACTTCTGGTGCTGTTACTGTTCCAGGTGATAGTCCTCTGCAAGGACTAAAGTTAAAAGACAGGATGTTCAATAAGGAGGATCTTCCAGCAGCAAAGTGCAATTTATTGGTGCCACATAGCTCCAAGGACAGAGTAAAAGGAGAGGATCCAAAGGTTTGTGTTCATCCATCCTGAAATCATGGACAGGGCTCTTTTGCTGCCAGACTAGTGTGCCTAGTCTCCTAGAGAAAGGGAGAGTGGCTTGCTCCATCAGATTAATGCTGGAAACGTTGCCACTGAAACTGCAGATATAACAAATGAAAAAGAAGTGAAATACATTGAGGACTTACTAATAGCTCCATTGATTTTTAGTTATAAAAAAAATCTGCGTAGCAAAAAATAACAATCCTTAGAGGCATCAAGCCACCATTAAATGGCATCAACTTCAAAGGAGCACATGCATTTCACAGTTCCCAGAAAGGCGGGGGAGTGCTTTCTGGTTTGGATGCTAAAAAATGACTTGAACCCATGCAACAATGAGGCTGTAATATTAATTGCAAATTACTATTAGTGCAGATCTGCTGACTTGCTCATGTACAGTACAATACATGTGTACACCCTTTTCATTGCCTGAAACCTGGTTGAGAAGGATGTAGGATCCTGGCTGTGGACGGAATTATTTGGAAGCAGCTCTGTGTTAGTTCTCAATTGGCTTTCTTAGGAAAGGGATGTTTTGACTTTGGGCAAGAATTGGCAAGGTCCATAGCATCCAGTGAAGGTCTCTTTAGGACTGGCTAGACAATAGCATGCTTTTAAGGAGGGACCAGAACACAGCAGTCCTGACTCCCACTCACTTCATATCTGTTCTTGTAAGAAGGTGGAGTTATTAGTAAGTGGGATTCCATGAAAAATGATGAATGATTAATAAAAGTGCCTCCTTCCCCATCCACAAGACCTTTGGGGTGCTTCACAAATGACAATCAATCACATTTGCCTCTATTTCCCCTCGAAGTATATAACGGGATTTTATGTTATTTGTTCCCTGGGGGAAATTTTTTTCTGAGCCCCTCTCAGTGCACTTACCTAACAGCTAACATCCTTCCAGTATCCCCGGATTTGATTATTCTGCATCACAGCAGGTCCATGGTATAGGATTGGTGACAATGATGACCCCCTTCAAAGCCCATGCGAGCAATTCTTGCATCAGCCAGAGGGGTCACTGCAGAGTGAGATAAGGTGTTCCCTCTCCCGTCTACATCCCAGCGACTGAGTAGTCTGGCTTCCTAGCCAATCCTGGTTAGGGAGCGAAGGATCAAGCCCTCATCTCAGACTCTGTACCCTATCCCCACCCATAGTCACAAACTATGCAAATTAACATTAAAGTGCCTGCTCATTGCAGATATGAATTTGAGTCTGATTGTTCTTATCAGATTTACAGAGAACCAGCCTCTTTTGTGGTGGCACAATAGTGTGAGAGAGGTGTGACGAGGGATTGCTCTGAGCAGTGAGCAGGTTTGTTCAGTATGTGTGTGATTCCCCAGCTAGCTGGCAGGTTGGAAGCTGGCGGATTAGAAGCCCCATCCATCACAACTGCTAGCGAAGGTGACATTCCACTGAGCTGGCCCGTTCTGCAGCACAGCGAGGAGCTGGCAAAGCAGCTATTGGGTAGTGAACATGATCTGTAGCCGCCCTTGACACCACAGAGCTCCAGCCTCGTTGATCTCTTCAGGGAACACTGAAGAATAGGCGTAGAGAAGCTATTATTCTCTTATCTGAAACTGACACAAATGAAATATGTTGGTTTAAATAACATGAGAGCTGTGAGATGGGCCTGAACCAGACCCCTGGGGGCTAAGTGGCACTTGGAAGCCAAGCCTAGATCTAGAAATGAATCTCAGAAATGTCCCCTCTCTTTATAATGGGCCAAACCGCCCTCCGCAGCCCTGAACGGTCACATAGTTTGGAGTATTTTAAATCCAGATATAGTCGGAATTCTGTGGTTCAAGCCATACCTATGGTTCTGTAAACACTCAGGACTCATTTCAGAGATGTGTTCAGTTAGGACAGTGTACTACCAGTGGTAACAAAACAGAGCTCTGAAGGTTCCTACATTCGGTCAGAAGATTCAGCTCTCTCTGGTTGCACCTGCCACTTCCCAGTACCAGCACTGATTTAAGATAAAAGACAAAGCAATGTGAACCTCAGACGTCCATATCCATCCCCCAACGCAGGTGTCTTAAAGTGCAGCTGCAGGGACTACCTCTAGCCATCAGAGGGGCCTGTGCCCTTTGTGTCCAGTGCAGTTCTGGCACCACTCTGCCGAGACTGCCAAGGAGAAAGTGGCCAATTCTAATTGGTTGTTCCCACGTGGATGCCTGTCCACTGAAAACTGGACTAAGATTGTAGGCTGTGAAGCAAAGGTGCATGACAGTGTGATTAATAATATTTAGAGTGGTAGCCGTATTAGTCTGTATCAGCAAAAAGAACGAGGAGGACTTGTGGTACCTTAGAGACTAACAAATTTATTTGGGCATAAGCTTTCGTGGGCTAAAACCCACTTCATCGGATGCATGCAGTGGAAAATACAGTAGGAAGATATAGATATATACACAGAGAACATGAAAATGGCTGTTGCCATACACACTATAACGAGAGTGATCAATTAGGTTTTTTTCTCCTGCTGATAATAGCTCACCTTAATTGATCACTCTCGTTATAGTGCTTTACCATTGATTTCAACAGACATATGATCAAGCCATAGCCCAGCTATGGACTATTCCATTTCGAATTTCAATGAATCTATTGGATTTATTTCTCCATTTAATTTAGATTTATATTTAAAAGGTACTAGTGCTTCGGGGGCTCTCTCTTTCTGGAGGGGACATAACACTGAGGCCCTGTTCACTTGTGGTCAAGATTCCCTGGTATTCACGGGTTCTAAGATCCTAGAAAGTGAAATGATGCTAGGGATCATTTTTGAGCTCCCTCTAGCTTACCCAGACTTCCCTGGTCCTGAGGTGCATGGAATGGAATGCAGTATTTCAGGTGCAGTCACACCCAAACTTTATGCTTCTCTGTGACATGAATCCTTTGTGTTTGTAGGCCAAAAGCACATTGGCATTTTTGGCTACCAAGTTACATGGTAAATTCATGTCTAATTTTCTCTCTGAAGTAAGTGCTCGATGCCCCACCATTCTGAGGCATTGGTTCAGAGGTAAGAATGCCACCTACTGAATCCCCAACACAACCTCCTGAAACCCAGTGGGATTTCCTTGGAGGTCTGCCACTGAAGTTCTGGCAAAGCCTGACCCTGCTTATCTTGTGGGAGGTGACTAGCTATCCCCGCAGAAAGATGTGAAACGGGGACACTCCACAGAAGCGGTGGATTTAAGGTCTTCCAGCATATTTTGCTGCATCCCTTCAGAATCTAAGCTTTCATAGGGGGAAAATGTGACCTTAGGACTTCTGGCTGAGCAGCTTAGTTTTACTTATTGTGACAGGGCCTACACGCTTCACTCAGGGGTCAGGGCCCCACTGTGCTCGCTGCTGTACAGTAAGAAAAACAAAGACAGTTCCTTCCTCCAAGAGCTCACAGTATAGGGACATGAAAAGTTGCAACAGGCGGACAAATGCGTAAAGGCTCGTTGGGGGGGGGGGGGGGGACAAGATAGTAGTAAAGATGTAACCAATCTCACTGCAGGGTTTCCCTGTGAGTGTAGCAGTACACCTGTCCCCTCTAGATGTCTGCTAGAGTGCGCTGGGTACCACAAGCTCAAAGGCAGGTGCTGTAGGCACTCCAAGCAATAGGCTACACAGGTGCTAGCCCTCTGTGGATTCCCATAAACACTCACATGTTCTGAGGGAGTAGCACCCTTTCTAGGGTGGCCTAAAACTAGACACAGTTCCTTTGTTACAATAACATTGAAGGTCAAAACCACAGTTCCTAACCTAGTCCCTAGGGGAAGTCCAGCAGAGGGGTGTAATGACAGGAGTCTCCTTCATAGAATCATAGAATATCAGGGTTGGAAGGGACCTCAGGAGGTCATCTAGTCCAACCCCCTGCTCAAAGCAGGACCAATCCCCAATTAAATCATCCCATCCAGGGCTTTGTCAAGCCTGACCTTAAAAACTTCTAAGGAAGGAGATTCTACCACCTCCCTAGGTAACACATTCCAGTGTTTCACCACCCTCCTAGTGAAAAAGTTTTTCCTAATATTCAACCTAAACCTCCCCCACTGCAACTTGAGACCATTACTCCTTGTCCTGTCCTCTTCTACTACTGAGAATAGTCTAGAACCATCCTCTCTGGAACCACCTCTCAGGTAGTTGAAAGCAGCTATCAAATCCCCCCTCATTCTTCTCTTCTGCAGACTAAACAATCCCAGTTCCCTCAGCCTCTCCTCATAAGTCATGTGTTCCAGACCCCTAATAATTTTTGTTGCCCTTCGCTGGACTCTCTCCAATTTATCCACATCCTTCTTGAAGTGTGGGGCCCAAAACTGGACACAGTACTCCAGATGAGGCCTCACCAATGTCGAATAGAGGGGGATGATCACGTCCCTCAATCTGCTCGCTATGCCCCTACTTATACATCCCAAAATGCCATTGGCCTTCTTGGCAACAAGGGCACACTGCTGACTCATATCCAGCTTCTCGTCCACTATCACCCCTCGGTCCTTTTCCGCAGAACTGCTGCCTAGCCATTTGGTCCCTAGTCTGTAGCTGTGCATTGGGTTCTTCCGTCCTAAGTGCAGGACCCTGCACTTATCCTTATTGAACCTCATCAGATTTCTTTTGGCCCAATCCTCCAATTTGTCTAGGTCCCTATGTATCCAGCCCTGCCCTCCAACGTATCTACCACTTCTCCCAGTTTAGTATCATCCGCAAATTTGCTGAGAGTGCAATCCACACCATCCTCCAGATCATTTATGAAGATATTGAACAAAACCAGCCACAGGACCGACCCCTGGGGCACTCCACTTGACACCGGCTGCCAACTAGACATGGAGCCATTGATCACTACCCATTGAGTCCAACAATCTAGCCAACTTTCTATCCACCTTATAGTGCATTCGTCCAGCCCACACTTCTTTAACTTGCTGACAAGAATACTGTGGGAGACCGTGTCAAAAGCTTTGCTAAAGTCAAGAAACAATACATCCACAGCTTTCCCT